AAGTCCGAGAGACCCACCTGACAGACAGTGAGCTCTTAGTACAGGGTGCCTGCCTGGCGCCCCTCCTTTCACGCGGGAGGCTGCACCCAATTAGAGTGTGCAAATTAATTTTTATCACTTCCAAATTAGTTTCGGAATTTGTGTAAAAGTCTGCCTCTGATGACAGCATCTGTCCTTCACATCTCCGCAATTCTGTTATCTAGTTAGAGACCAGCTCAAAACCTCCAAGATCATTTCCTACGTTCAAAGTCACACATTTGAAAGAGTAACAAGGAACAGAGGCATTAGGGAATATATTAATAAAACAAATATAAATTGACTGTAACCTGGGCCGGGTAGCTTTTGCTTATTTCTTCTAGGGTCTGAGACTCCCTTTACAATAATCTGTTTACAAACTTTCATTGTCATTTTGGCCAATTCATTAAAGCTGCAGAGACGATTAGAAAAGTCTATTCCAGATTTCTGAGACGGCTAAATTAGTGACAACAATCTACCCAACACAATGAAACCACCGACTCTTCCGGTACCCACCGACAAATCTACAAGCATTGCTTCTTTATTCTCCGTGACACTAATGCCCATTAGAAATAACGACAGTGCAAAAGAAACAGACATATTAAAGCCACTTGGATTTACCTTGGGAAAATGTCAGTGATGTGCACATAAGGTTAATAAACAGATCGTATCAGTTCATGACGCTGTCACTGATGAACAAGTCTGATTCTGGCACACAGAGAAATTCAGTGTAGGTACCAAGACCGATCCCTGAACTACAACAGCTACTGGGATGTTATGTTTCACGCCAGGATTTCCCCGGCCAGCGCTGGTTAACAGACACAACCTTCAAAACCGAAGGGCATTTGGGTCACACACTTTCATACGAGTTTAGACATAACGAGCTTTTTGGTGTTGGGGAGCAATGCACTATGAGATGGAAAACACATACAGCCCGATTCTCTGATCTGTGAAATGGCAGCTAGAGTAGATTAAACTAGAACAGAAAAAAATTCCTCTCTTTTGTATTGTGAGTTTTCTGACGGCAAGGACTATGTCTTTGGGTCACTGACGTGGCAGTTGATCAGTTTCTGTTGTAACTGCCTTAAAAAGAGTGTACTGGCCGGTACGTGTGGCTGCCCTGGCCACGCACACACACACTACCAGGCTGGCTGTCTGAGCAGACACAGAGTCGTGAATCAGTCAGGTCAATCAAATACTAAGTACTCAAATACTAAATCTGAGTTTTGTTTTGTTTTTTAAATATTGTGACTGTTCACATGGTAAAAAGCTGAAACTAGTTTTTACATAAACATTAATTTGTACCCAAGATGGAAAGCTAGGCATTTTATGGATGCTTAAAGTATTTATGATACTGGATATTACCTGAGAGCAATTCATGAGTCAGGTACTAAAAGCACTCAGTGTACTGAGCACGCCCATGCAGGTCATTATAACATAGATTCTTGTAAAGTCCACAGACTCAGGGACTGGGACTACCCAGCATGCCAGCTGCTAGGAGAGCCAGGCACACAGTCGGCACTCAGTACAGGCACACAGTCGGCACCCGACAGAGGCACACAGAAGCATTCAACCCGTATTTGTGGCTTGATTAATACTTTGGTTTATTCTAAAACAGCATTTTATCTAAAGAGCATTGTGCCCAGAGAAAGTGCCCAATAAAATCTCGAAAGGGTAGATTTTATGGAGTTGGTTCAGGTTTATAGCAATGATAGCAGTTTTTGGACCCCCTCCAAAATTCCTATAAAACGGAGGCAATACTGCAAAATATGCATTGATAACATTGTCATTATTTCTAAAGGATAATCTTGTCCTTATTTAAAGCTTAAATAAAATACAGCATTTAACAAAAGTAACATTTGCAATTTTGTTATTAAATAGAGATTAGTAGGAACATTTTGTATTTACATAACTCCTGTTGTAAGGAATTTTAAATGCTCTAGACATTACTATATTTAACTTTTCTTGCTAATGGATGGAACAAGCTACAATCAATAATCAATCATCTTTTGATTTAAAAGATCATTAAAAAAGTGTTCGGCTGATAACTGAAAGGTCAGTGATTCGAACCCACCAGCCGTTCCGTGGAAGAAATATGTGGCAGTCTGTTTCTGTAAAGATTACAGCAATGGAAACCCTGTGGGGCAATTCTACTCTGTCCTATGGGGTCTTTATGAGTCAGAACTGACTTAGTGGCAATGGGTTTTTGGTTTTAATCTTTACGGGAGCAGATCACCAGGTCTTTCTCCCCCAGAGCCACTGGGTGGGTTCGAACTGCTGATCTTCTGGTTAGCAGCCGACCACTTAACGAGCGCACCACCAGGGTTCCTCCCTAACATAATTACTATATATTAACGTTCTTCTTTTGGATTCTCTACCTCAGAGAGGCACACTATATAAAACACCTTGTCTCTGCTACAGGTAGCACTTTTAAGGAATCAATCCATTTTTGGAAAGATCATTTGAATCATTTCTAAGCTTCACCTTGAAGATGCTGCTAATTGGATTTAAAGCTTTATTCTGTTTATTTTTTAAATTTTTCTATCTAATACTTCTAATTTTTATCAATGTATATGAAAGATACTACACAGACCTACTAATTAATTAAAAGTTTTCTAAGAAATGCTACTTTGCTATGGAAGCACAGAAAATTTGGAAATATGTGACGATACATTTAGATGAAATGTTTGTGATAACGTGCCACGCTTGAGAATAATAAAGCCATCACTGGTAGATTGAATGTTCTACAGAATTTTTATGCAAATAGCACGCTGTCTACGTTTGTTTGACAACCGTGCCCTCCGTCCCCTGGAGATATTATTATGCTATTATTTTTACAGCACTATGTAAAAAAAAAACTGGCATAGTGGCACTTATGAAAATACCTCAGGAGGGAGCGTGAGATTGGCAAAGAAACATAGAAGGCGCACGTTATTTGGGTAAAAATGCAGTATGTATACAAACATACACTAGAGTCCTGTTAAAAATGAAGTTTTTGTTTAAATGACATGGTTAAAGAAAGAGTAAGTGAGGTTAATGCATTAATATTTAGAGTATGATGTTCATTAATAATGTAGATTTGGTAGCTAACTATTTGGATTGGTTGGCAATCAAGTAACACTGAGTATTTTTTTCCTCAATTCAATACCGTATCTTAGTTCACAATTTAGAGTAAAGAATTAAGTGTATAATACACACTCTTTCTTTCGTTCAATTTTTACACCAAGAGACATATACTTTCTGACATACTTTGAGTTTCTGCATTCACTGTTCTGGCTATGGGCAACAAGAATGAGACCCTGCTTAACCTCAGAGAGGTCAAGTTCCCACCATCTTCTTAAACACACATACAGTAAAACTCGTGAAAACTGGAACCTGTGTAAGGTGGAAACCTGTCAGAGAAGGAAACTCAAATATTTTCCACTAAAATGAGTGAAAGGTGGAACGTTTTCGAGACTTAGAAAAACAAGGCAGGCCAGTTGAATTTCAGCTCTCACAGGTTTTACTGTATATATATTTCTATATTCTCTGCTGTGACGGAATCTTTGCTCCTATTTATGCAGTGTTCCTGTGAAAACTATAAAGTTGGGTGAGGGATTGGACATTTCATTTCCCATCCCCAGCTCTCTCGCAGGCAGGAACGGACCAGACTGCAGAGGGGTGCGCACAGCCGTCTCCAGTCACGCTGCGGGAACGCGGTATCCTGCAGACTTCTCATCTACCCGTCCAACATGTCGGTTGCAGAGACACAGAGACCTGGGAAATCCTCAGCTCTGTTGTGTCGTAAGTATTTCCAAAACCCGTGTGTTGGTTGATTTTGGAATGCTGTTTTAGCGTGACCCATGCAGGAATTACAATTAGAATAAGCCAGGTGCAGATACTTGCCATTATGAACACTTTATAGAAACTATTCTGTATTTTACAGGCAGTACCTGCATCTGAACTGCTGAAAGCTTGGTAATTAAACCAGTAATTATTTCTAGGCAATCTCTCAGCTGGTTCTTCACGCTGTACAGTACAGTGTGCCAGGAACCAGACGCTGCAGATTAGATGAGAGAAATCTCGACCTCCTTCAGAACAGCTCCAAGGGGCAGGGATTGCTCTTATGTGAACAAAAGGCTCCATGGAAAAAGTCAGTTTGAAAAACTTCGGGTTAAACAAATGTTAAACAAGCTTTTTTGTGTAAGGCTCTTAGAGCTTAGAGAGTTAGAGCTTAGAGTGTTTCCCCATTTATTTATTTACTTTTGTAACCAGGGAGTCCCCTCTCTTCCCCACAGGATCTCCTGAGGGAGTGCGGGTGGATAGAAAGCAGCTAGGAACCAACCCAAGCAAGGAAACTTGTTCAGCGTGCAGCCCCAATGCCTAATGTGAAGGGCGGGGTACTCAGGAATTGTTAAATGAATACACAGGCATTTGTGTACTCCGTGGTGGGAAGCAGGCAGTGCCCTGACTGAGGCACCAACGAGACCCGTGGAAGCGCAGAGACACAGGTGACAATTCAGCTGAGAGAAATCACACGAGGCTTAATGAACTCTGAATGACATTTCTGAGGGACGGGGATGTCTGGAGATTGGGCAAGGGCAGTGTGAGGGGGCCCGGGAGGGTTAGAACAGTTGTCCCTTTTTACACTTTGAACACAGCTACATTCCAATAAAGATGTTGCCACTGAAGCTTTCAGTATTATAAAATCCTTAATACTCCCCAGGAAAAACTATTTGAAAAAAATAAAAACGGCAAAATATATTTACGCAAATGTATAGTGTGTTTGTAGAGGGTCACTGAAAAAGAGCAAGCCCCTCAAGGAGATGGATGACGCAGTGGCTGCAACAACGGGCTCAAGCGTAACAACGACTGTGAGGACGGCGCAGGGCCGGGTAACGTTTCCTTCTGTCGTACACGCGGTTGCCGTGAGTCAGAGCCGACCTGACGGCGCCTCGCAACATCAATAACACAACCTGGTAGGACAATTCCAGACAGACACTCACTGCTGTTGGGGTTGTCTCCAATGATGTGATGGCGCCCACTCCAGTACCAGAGAAGCAGGGTGGCGTCTCGAGACCCGGACACGATGTAGCAGTCCCCACCGATGTAGGACTCAGACCTGGCCAAGCACGTGACCACATCCCAGTGGCCAAAGACAATCTGGGTTAATTTCCCTGGAATACAGAAGTGGCAGGTTTACTTCAAGGACTGGTTTTCTTTCAACGGTAATAAGTGTAACATTATTTTACTAGATTCACCAACTTATAGGGTAACACAAATCTAGCTACAGATACTTTCTTGCATTGCCTCTAAAAACTGATACAAGGAGTCAACAATTACTCTACAGCAAAGATGAGAATGTAAGGGGGCAGGGAAACTAGATTAATGGAAATGGAACAAATAGAGCAGAAACGATGAGAACGCTCACACACTGTGAAGAACGGAACCAATGTCACTGAACAACTTGCACAGGAATTGTTGAGTGGGAACCTCAACTGCTGTGTAAACCTTCACTGAAAACACTGAAAACACAATAAAATACTATGTAAAAAATCTGATACAAGGATGTCACTTGGAATTTTAAAGGATCTTACAAACTAACACAATCATGAATTTTTTTCTTCAGGGCCTGGGACTGATGAACCAAACGGAGGTCTAATGTCTTTGATTTGAATTGAATTTGGGAAGATGCCATGACGCCCTTTGTCCGATGAGCTGAGGGCTCAAGCCAAGGTTCAGAATGGATGGAGCTACCATTAGTTAACAAGCTTACAGGGCGGACATTTAATCTGAATCTCGGCCCCTCAGGTTGACAAATGATGAACATGTGCACACTATTAGGTACAGGTTCGTATCGAGCTTTAGGTGTGACTACAGTCACTCTGGCGCCCTGGTGGTGCAATGGTTAAGAACTTGGCTGCTAACCAAAAGGTCTGCAGTTTGAATCTACTAGCTGCTCCTTGGAAACCCTACGGGGGCAGTTCTACTCCGTCCTGTAGGGTTGCTATGAGCCGGAACCGACTCAACCGCACATAACAACAACGACGGTCACTTTTAAGAGAATAGGTGTTTCATAATTACGGTTACCTGTCTCTGTAGAATAAACTCTGAAGCTCTTGTCCCAGAATCCACATATAAGAACATAGCGATTATCTGCTGTAACCACAAAACAGTGCGCGTTGATTTGTATGCTCTGATCAACCAGGTCTGTGATCTGCCGCTTGTTCACACCAGAGTTATTGGCTAAAAATAAGTAGAAAAAAGGAGCTTAAAGGAAGGTTCCACCAGTATCACTGAGCATTTTATAGAAGGAAAAGGATACATTTATGCTTCATTTATCTATAAACAGGCTTTTAAGACTATATGATTCTTCAGATTTTAACATTTCCCCTTGAGGAATATTTTTTTAGTACTAGTGATTATTTCTGAATCATATTACATATTTAAAAATCATGCCAGAAATTGAAGTTCTTCCTCCACCCAAAAAGAAAAACAGTATGAGGAGTTCATGACAATGGATTTAAAACATAATACAAATATTTAAATGCATTTACTTCTACAGATGTTTATACGCACAAGCTCTTTAGTATCCGAGAACAACCAAATAGGAATAAATACCGTATGAAGAACGCTGTCTAAGGAAAACATTTCTTACTATTTGCCCCAATCTGTCATTGCCTGATGGCATTTACAATTCATGTACAGAGAGGAGAGATTCCAGTGGGGGGTGTTGTTTTTATGTGGGCAGCCCCACAGGGAGCTTTAGGTCAGCAGCTTTAGAGACCTGGATTGTCAACAGACAGAAGGCCTTCCAGAATGGGCTGGCAGGGGAGGAGATGGGAGACGGATTGGGTAGGAAGGAGACAGGCTGAGGATCAGCCTGTAGCCCTGGGACTGACTCTGATTTCCCAGGTGCCTGTCTTCATGCCAGCCTGCCCCTTCCTCTACTCTGTCCTCCCAGGCTAACTCCCTGGGCTGAATTCTTAAACAGAAACCCTGATCCCCGGTACGCAGATGCGGGAGAGTATCATCTCACTCTGACACCATTTCCATCCAAGTGCTACCACCTGTAGATGCCTACCAACCCCTAAAAATAATTACTAGAGAAGGCAAACAGTGAAGAAATCACACCAAAGAAAAGGTAGCAAGGAAAGAGAAAAAGAAAAGGTCCCGGGTCACTCAACAACCACAGAATCACCCTTCAATAATCAGAATGTAAATATTAATTTTCCAGGGTCACACACTAGCTATATAAGTAAGACATTGTCCGTGTCTGTCTGACAGAGGAATAGGTAGACTATATCTAAAAACATGCCTGATCCTAACCTTACATTCTCCCAAAAATATTTGATACAATTTTGTGTAGGGGTATAAGTACTAACTTAAATGGCTCTATCTAATCTCATTTCTGTGTCCACACAAAGGGTGAATTAATCTAATAAAACACCATATGTTTGTATACGGCTTAATAATTTTCCATAGCATTTTCAGTTATTTTTTCTAGCTTAATTCTCTAGATAATCCCATGAAATAGGTACAATAAGCATCACTATAAACCATCTCGAAGACCTTAAATGAAGACTAGAAAGACTCTGGAGCTTGCTCAGGATCATGATGGCTAACAAATGTCTGAGTGAGTTTTGTGTCCAGTAAAATATTCTGAATATCTGCTGCAAAGAGTCACAGGTCATGAGTTTGCAATTCACATGAAACCTTTAATTTAAAAAGATGTTTTAGGCCTACTGAAGGGAGGCTTCGAGAAAAGATGTTCTTCAGTATTAGTTTCACAAACGAAGACATTTGATGGGTCACGTTCCCTTATCTTTAACAATCTCTTTGAATCCTTATATTTTAAATAATATAGAATTGTTCAAGAATATTTTAGGCTGAAAGGGAGGACAGTTTGGAATTCTCTGCCTTGCTTAGAACAACCAACTTAAATGATCCCCTAAAATACCACGAAAGTCCCACAGATAATTGCTTTCATACCAGCAAGTTCTTAGATAACATATAATGATTTGCACAGTTCCTGGAGGGTAATCTGATGCTACTTGCACGTTAATTTTATGGCAGAAAAAATATTCAAGTCTCTTTTGTGAAGAATAACCACATATGAACCTGTGGACGGTCAAAATCCATGAAGTACGTGTTTCTGCTGTTAACGTACCTATTAATGGGTCCATTTCAATGGGCAGGTGATGGGCTTGATCCAAGGAGTATCCTGGGGCTCCTCTGAGGCCTGAGGACACAGGAGGAGAAAAGCTCCGTGAAATTCCCAGAGAGGCGGAAATTCCCTATCAGCGGTGCTTTACAAAGACTGCACAAAATGCGTATTTGCTTAAAAATTTTTTGGGTAAATTATTCTAAGAATGATTCAGTCATACTACATGTCTTTGTAGACAGCTTTAAAACAAATCTTCATAATGGGGACTTCTGGCTTCCACTTAAGATGCAGAAAGCTGGGAAGAGTGCTGGTCCCACTGTGACAACCCCAAAGAGCCGGACGAAAGAAAAGATCCTATCGTCTGTGGACCCAGCAGAGAGCTAGGCCATTACTGGGCAAACAATTGGGCTGAAACCTAAGGAGAGGCTGCGGTGGGACAGGGTGTGAGCAGGGGCTCCCCTGGGGCAGAGCTGAGGGGAGACGGGCCAAGGGGGCCTTGTCTCCACTGATTATCAATAAAATGAAGGATAAAACTGGGCCACACCTGTAACCGTCCCCTCAGCAGAAGCTGCTTCAGAGGATTAATGGTTAGGGCTTGGCTGAGTTCGTCAGTCAGGATTTTTCCTGAATGTGATTATATAATATACATAATACTTTTGAACCATTTTAAGGAAAAATGTAGTCTTTTACAGTTTTCTTTCAACGCAACAGAGTTCTAAAGGCTGAGTCTCCTGTGAATAAGAAAAATCGTAACTTTTCTTACGATGTTTGCTGGCTGCACACTTCTGGTTGAATGGAAGCCGTTCTACCTCAGGCCGATAACATCATCAGTAACAACAAACAGGTACGTTTAGAAACTCTTGGCAGATAAAGCTATGGCGTAAATCACTGCATTTTTCCGAGCTCTTAGAAGTCAGTAGGCAGGAAGATTCAGGTTAATCTGCCGTGACGTATCTGTTCAGTCCTGGCTACAGGGGGTGTCCAGGAGGGCTTCCAGCCAGATCTTAAGTGATGAACTGGACCATCTAAATCATCCGGTCGCGTCCTATCTGCCCTGGTTAAATAAGTATCACTATGTCTAAGCTTCTGCAGCAGCTCTGTATCACCTCAAGATGTACTGCCTGGAACATTCAGGAATGCGTTTTGGGAACACACCTGTGAAATCACGGAACAACTTAGATGTTGCCTTTGCTTGAAGGCTCTAAGCTGCACGAGGGTGGAGACGAAGTGTGCCTTGTTTGCTGCTATATTCCCTCTGCTCAGCGCTGTTTGACGCTGCGTAGCCAGTCAAATATTTGCTAAATAAATTAATGATGTGGAAGAAAGAGGCATTTGGAACCATCGTTAGGGAAAATCCAGGTTCTTCCAACTCACTTTGGTACGTTGTTAATTGCTGTTGAATCGACTCTGACCCATGGCGACCCCACGTGCGCAGAGTAGAACTGCTCTGTAGGGTTTTCAAGGCTGTGACCTTTCGGAAGCAGATCGCCAGGCCTGTCTTTCAAGGAGCCTCTGAGGGGGGTTTGAACTGCCAATTTTTCGATTAGTAGTAGAGCTCTTAACAATCTGCGTCACCAAGGACTCCCACTTTGGTTTAATACGGCCGGTGGGACAGGTGGAGTGGGAGACGAGGACCTGGATTATTTGCAGAACTGCTTCAACGTATCAAATACTTAACTATTAGCCCAACACTCCGAGAGACACTACGATACAGCAGTGACTAAGACAGGTAAGAGTCGTTTAGTTTAGTTGCCGATTACTCACTCTGTGGGTTTTTGTAGACAATTCAGCGTACTAGCTGACCCTCACCAAACATGCCTTAACCGCAGGTTTAGGGATATTTAGTAAACAGGTTGCTTGGCACACGTACCCACTGTGTTGTGCCATCTGTTGACTGCAAACAGCCTGCTGCAGGTCACCGTCACCACCGCGGGGATGGTGAGGTGGGGGAGCGTGTTGGCTGCCACGTGGGTCACGGGAGAGTTGGAGGGGAACTTCAGCACCATTATCACATCCTGCTGCATCTGGTCTTTGAACATGAGTGGGCTCTGTGGAAGGAAACACTGTTGAGTAGAAAGGGAAGAGGGCAGAAGGAAACAAAGGGAGAACGCAGTTAGTGAGAGGCCTGGGCAGTCAGGTTAAAGCAGACTAGGCTACGCGGACACGCGCGGAGCGTGGGAGCAGATCACCGGCTCTCTCTTCCCGTGGAGCCCACGGGTGGGTTTGAACCGCCAACCTACTGGCACCACCAGGGCTCCTCGTAAGTCCTGTAACCGAAAAAACCCTGTTGCCTTTGAGTTGATTCCAACTCACAGCGACCCTATATGACCCTATGTGACAAAGCAGAACTGCCCCGTAGGTTTCCGAGTCATAGGGTTGCTATGAGTCAGAATCGACTTGATGGCAAGGGGTTTGGTTTTTTGGTTTAATCTTTACGGAAGCAGACTGCCACATCTTTCTCCTGCAGAGAGGCTGGTGGGCTCGAACCACCGACATTTCTGGTTAGCAGCCGAGCTCTTAACCACTGTGCCACCAGGGCTCCTTATGAGTACTATAAGACACTGTAAATACTGCAACATGAAAAACATAAAAGAGGGTTGCTGGAAGTAACCGTGACTTAGCCTTCATTCACGCTTTGTAATTATTTGCTGTATATATGAATTCTGTCATGTGAACCTAGAAAGCTTAAATTTTCTTTCTGAACGAGTCCATGCCAGTTTAGTCTCTAACAATTTCCCCTAGGAAATTAATGAATTCTGACTGGGCATTTCTCCGGGATAAGTATTTTTATTAGTATTATTATTATTACTAAGCAGAGAAAGCCAGCCTGGGAATAAAACTCTTCTACCAAATCAGTCATAAAAGGAAGCTTGATGTTTTTCCTGAAGACCATATTAAAAATGCTTCATTTCAAGTCTTGTGGCTCAGAGGCCTTGACTTTCCACGTCTGCTCTGTGACGAGGGGCTTGTAAGGGGGCAGCATGCCTCTTGCAGACCTGTGTTTTGTCATGCAAAAGGCCCCAGCTGAGGAAAAACAGTTCATTAGCACCTGGCCCTGGGGCTGAAACGGTTTGCTTGAGCTTTTGCAGAAAGGAAACAAACGACTGAAACCAACACCGTCTCTGTGCACTGGTTTCACTAGCTTCGACTCCTGACCGTGTGGGGGATGAACTCGCTCCTGGCAGCACACCTGACACACACAAGGGGCTCGACATAAAATTGTTGAGAAACTGATAGAATAAGTCAAAGCTACGGACACTGCTTTCGTCACAAAGCAAGAGCTTATCGTTTGTTTACACACATTATGGATGCTATTCCAGAGCTACTTCCCGCCTTGGTAACTCTCTAGGAAAATCCGCTCACCGTTCTGGTACTTGTAAACGCCATTTTAGCTTTTCCTAAGAAAAATATAGAAGCCTTGGTGGGGCAGTGCTTAAGCGCTTGGCTGCTAACTGAAAGGTCAGCGGTTGGAAGCCACCAGCTGCTCCACGGGAGAAAGACCTGGCAATCTGCTTCCGTAACGATTTCAGTCTAGGAAACCCTATGGGGCAGCTCCACTCTGTCAAATGAGGTCACTCTGAGTCAGAATCAACTCCACGGCACCTAACAAGAACGAGTAGAATATAGTGGGGAAAAAAAAAATCACAGTTTAAAACATAAATTCTAAAGATCTTTCTCAGAAAGCATTCACCTTCTCAAATTATTTAAAAAGGACATAATTACTATTTGCTAATATGTTGAAAAAGGACTGTTTTCTCATGGAAACAAACTTTGAAAACTCAGAATTTCAGAAATATTGCTTTTTCCCTTGCAAAATCAGAATGAAAGTCTTCCGTGAAGTAGCTAGCGCTGATGATGGTGACATCAGCCAGCATCTCGAGCCCCAGTATATGTGGACTCTGTGCTAAGTGGGATACAGCGGGAGGCCATTAAATTCTCAGCCGGAGGTGATGTTTTTTGGCCCATTTCACAGATGTTGGAACGTAGAGGTCACCTTGGCCAGATCACTCACTAGTTAGGTGGCAGAGACGGTATATGACTCAGACCTGGCTCTGGAGCCCTTGCTCTCCACCACCTTCTTGTCTGCTTCTCTGCCAGTGACTGGAAATGACTTTTCTATTCTTTCCTTGCCTTAAAATCAACTCTTGCCAAAAAGGTTAAGTTTGGCAATTTCATGCAGTGCTTAGATTTTTCATTGTAATTTACAAATCTAATCTCACTTTAGGAAGGAGCCCTGGTTAAGCGCTCGCTTGTTCGAACCCACCAGCCGCTCTGTAGGAGAAAGATGAGGCAGTCAGCTTCCATAAAGGTTACAGCCTTCGAAACCCTATGGGGCAGTTCTGCGCTGTCCTTTAGGGTCGCTATGAGTTGGAATCGAGTTGACGACACACACAACAATCTCACTTTGGTATGGTGTGTGTCTGCTTGCCCGTATGTGTATGAGTGACTTTATGTACAGGCAAACTCAGGCAGAGAAGACAGTTATTTTTGTTAACCCAGAACTGGGCTAGCTCATCTAGGACTTCGAGAGCTGCACTCCGCTCTCTGTTTCCCCCTGAGGTATCAGCGTATACCTAGGCTGAAGCATTAACCAATACATTGAGATGCCTGAAGGATGCTGCTAAAGCAGCCATTTTATTCAGTCTATACTCAGATCCACAGGAAAGAAAAACACCTCAGCAAGCTGATATGTCTCACCAGGTGCATGGCGGAGCTCCGAGGCGGATGTGGCTCGATAAGCAGCTGAGATGGTGTCTGTCCAAAGTTCTGGATCTGTGCCTCCATGGCCTGCAGGGCAAGGCGAGTGATTGTCACAATCAATACACATCAGAGAGATAGGTCAACACACTCTTTGACAATGCAAGTGTATCCCAAGTCAGCCGTGAAAAGAGTCCAGAAAATTCAGGGTGCCCTTCTCTCAGGGTGCAGAACTATCCAAGTGTTAGTATTTTGTAGACAAGCTTTGCCTCTCTTCCAAACATGCTTTCATTAACCAAGTGACGATTGTCATTTCCAGAAGCTGGGATTAAATGTGGGGATATTAACCCATGAGTACACACACGCAGCTAAAGGCCAAAGAGAACACCAAATACCACACACCGTGTGCACCTTAACGAAGTCCTTTGTAAGAAGGAAAGTATGAGGGGCTCTAACGAAATAAGCTTCTGGAATCTTAGTGGGAAAACAGAACGAGACATAAAGCCCACCAATGATACAAAATAAAATCCAGAAAAGCATATGCTCTGAATCATCAATTCAGAGGGCAATAAGTAGAAAGGACACTAAGATTTTTTCGTGTAGTAATTAAATATGGCAAACCTTTGATTACAAAAATATATTTCAGCTTACTATGGTATTTTAAGACAAATCCTGCAACGTTATTTAAAAAGTATGAATTCATGTATGTCATAATTTTTCTGAAATTCAAGAAAGAACCAACCTAAAAGGGAAGAATCCTTTAAGCATCCCGAACTAGACAATATTTCCTCAACGCCTGGACGGATGGAACCACTAATGAGATTTTATGGCTTCAAACGAAAAAAAATAATTTTAGACCGCAAACAGTTTAGGCTGTATATATACTTTATTATTGTGTGTGTCAAAGAGATATTTGTATAAAAGACAAATATTTTTTCTATACTTAAAATCATCTAGGCAAAATACTTCAACATATTATGGTAGACTAACAGAAACACTTTTCTGAAATAACAGAAGTATGTAATTTAAGTTAACAAGGAGAAGCACAATATTTACTATGATCATGACTCTGTTACCATGCTAATTTTTTTCCCTAAAATTGTGTGCAATTTGGTTGCACATAAAAGTGAAATACGAAAACGACTGCCGAGTGCTTCCGGAGTGCAGGTTAGTGGTCGCGAGCCCTTCACATGATGCCGCCACTAGTCACACCCTGAGCCACAGTTCCCATTTATGCAGTGCCTAAATTTAACCATCTGTCCCCTAGACGGCATTTCAAGAAAACGTTTATCAATAAAATGTGAATTTTCAAATTTATTAGCAATGTTAAACATGAATGCATCCATATCCACCATATTTCAGCAATTGCATAAATGGGGCTTTGCTTCTTTTATTTGCAGAGGCCTTGGAATGAATTATTAAGTTTCTTTAAATGCTGTCTAATTTTAACGTACACATTTATTTGCATGGTGTCCACTCATATGCAAAATGTGACTATTTAGCTAAACTGTACTCACATAGACACCATCATACTTTGCCTTCCTGGTGCAAGATTTAAGATTATAAAAGGGAAAAGCGACCATTTCTGGTTAGGTTCACATTATTAACCATAAACTGTTGGGAATTATTTGAAAGAAACAACAAGAAGCAGTAATTTTGTTGTTAAAGCTGCCCTGAGCGGCAAATATCCAATACCTAGTTTAATGCATCACAAGCCGCTAACGTTGCTGTAACAGTATAGATATTACCGCCTGTGTGTCACTCATCCAGCAAAAGGACAGGGGCTGGGGTAAGATTAAGCACAATTTAATCTCTAGAACAAGGCATTTGACACCGTAGGTAGCCATTAAATGTCCATAACCCACTGCCGTCAAGTCAATTCTGACTCAGCGACCCTACAGGACAGAGTTGAACTGCCCCATAGGATTTCCAAGGCTGTAATCTTTATGGGAACAGATTACCAAGTCTTTCGCCTTTGGATGGCTGATGGGTTCAAACTGCCAATCTTTCAGTTAGCAGCTGAGTGCTTAACCACTACACCACCAGAGCTCCTTTTAATTGTCCAGAGAAGGGATGAATCAACAAACACACTTTGCTCAACTTTAATTTGGTTTCTGAAAGGGAAGTATTAAAATTATACTAGAAGACGCTATGGAACGGACGTAAGTTCTGGACAGTTCTCTGCGGTGGATCCCCCCGCCCCCGATCCTTTTTGGGCTGAGGCATGTCTCGGAAACACAAACACACACACACACACACACACTTGAAGTGGCTCCCAACTGGCATCAGGATAAATACTGAGTTGTGATTCATCTCACTCTTTCATAGGTCCCTACATTTAACATTTATTTCCAGGAAGACTAAACTCATTACTCTTCCTTGTGATTGACAATCACATAGCTTAGGAACCCAGAAGATTCTTATTGCAGTATTTATCTTTCAGTTAAGGAGCCCTAATGGTTGCGCACTTGGCTGCTAACTGAAAGGTCGGCAGTTCGAACCCACCAGCTGCTCAGCAGGGGAAAAGACCTGGTGATCTGCTCCCATAAAGATTACAGCCTAGGAAACCCTATGGGGCAGTTCTACTCTGTCCTATAGTGTCACTAAGGGTTGGAATCAGCTGGATGGCATCCGACAACAACAACCTGTTAGTTGTTTTATAATCCTGCCTCCCAGTACTTCCTTATCCTCAGATGAAAACTGGTATAGGTCTTTCTTATTTTAGAAAAGCACAGCTGTCCCCTCTCTGATTTATTTATCATTACCAACATGTGCTAATGAGGTTTCTGTCCACCCCAACTCTTAGGAAGCTTCGATGTTGAGTAAATAGGCACCTTGGTGGGAGAGTGCTCGGTGATCCACAGGACTCATTCTGCAAGCTAGGAATCATGGCAATTCAGTCCTTGTCCTGAGAGCGATTCCCTCCACGTGAAGGAGAAAAGCTCCCCTAATGCTAACCTTGAGCAGGGCTCTAAAGCCTCTTCTTCCCAAACTCCCTGAGTCATCACGAATAGTCTCCATATTCTCACAGCGTTTTGGTTTGTTTGCCCTTGGTTATGGAATTTAACACACAATTATTCATGTATGTCTGTTTGCTCACAGTGTGAATCTCAGGGGTCAGGACTGTGACTTGGTCCCAACAGGGGCTCCAGCAATACAGAATGGTGGGGGCATTTGTGTAAAACGAGAAACTAGTCTATTAAAAAAAAAGCTCAGTGGTGGAGAAAATGTCAGAGTTCTTTACCTTTACACAACAAAACTACAAAAACAATTCATTAAACAATTAGTTAATTTAACAAACATTTATTGAATGCTTACTCCATGCTGTAACCTGGTGCCATTGAGTCGATTTTGAATCACAGCAATCCTACAGGAGAGACTAGAACTGCCCCATAGGGTGTCCAAGGCTGTGTAATCTTTACAGAAGCTGACTGCCACATCTTTCTGCTGCGAGTGGCTGGTGGATTCAAATCGCTGACCTTTCAGTTGGCAGCTGAGCCCTTAACTGCTGTACCACTGGGGCTCCTTTTACTCTATGCCAGGCGATATGAAAACATACAGCAAGCTGCCCTCAGGAAGTTTTCAGCCCTGTCAGGGAATCAGTACATCAGCGCTCACAGCAGGTAGAGGGCGACGGGGCCGTGGAGGCTGGGGAAGTGACATAGTCAGATTCAGGGGGCAGGCGGACAAGCGGGTGCCGGGCCATGAGGAGAGGCGTCCAGAATCAGGGACACAGGCTGAGGTAAGCAGCCAAGTAGGAACTGGTGAGTCAACAGCATGGCAAGATTTTTAGCCATACAGAACTTTTCCCTTAATAATTCCAAATGTGTCAAGTAAGAAGAAAAAGAAAGAAAAAAAACCTACTTAAACCTGATTATAAGGTGGATTCTTTCTATCTTGTCAGAAATGGCATTTAAAACAATTCAACACATTCCCGGTTCTCATGAGTCAGGGATGCTGTGTTAGCTGTAGCCAGTCTAACACTCCACGGCTTGAGCATATACCAGGTGCCAGGTGCTGCTGCAGACAGCTGTGATTCTGGGCAAGCCACATGGCTCATGACCACTCAGGAAGTCCCAGGAGCACACGTCCAGCTGGCGGTCACAAGGCATCCCCTGGGCTCCACTGAGCTCACAGACACAGGTTCTGTCTGAGCTGACATTACCATGTCAGAATCTCACACAGTAAGTTTGACCTGGTGGGAGAAAGACCTGGTGGTCCGCTCCCATGAAGATCACAGCCTAGGAAACCCTACCGGGCAGTTCTCCTCTGTCACACGGGGTCGACCAGATGGCAAGGGGTTTGGTCTTTGGGTTTGAAGGCGAGACCTGGAGTGCCCCATGAGCACTCCTGCGGGCAGCCCTCACCTGGGGCCAAGGCACGACCACCAGTCCTAGTGGCTGAGCTGACACCACCCGTGCGTGCAGACTTTCACTCGTTTATCCCCTCTCGGGCCCCACACACGTCACGGCTTGTGAATGTCTTAAAAATCTAACAACCAAACCAACACCCCTGTATGTGTTACTGCCGTTTCCAGTGAAGAAGGGAGGAACTAACACCAAATTCAGGAGCACACGCATGTGTGATGTGCACGGTGAAAGAGTAAACGTTGGGAAGGAAGTCTTTCCAAATCTTAACTTACTTCATTTAGGTGTCCATGAGCCATATCAGAAACATCATTATTACCACATCTTCATCCAGATGCCTTTCCTCTTTCTCATTCTCAACAAGCCCAGCTGAGGAGCAAATGAGGGAAGAACCTGCAGGAGCTCCCAGGGAAGGGGCACCTCACGGACCCCATCCACTGCGACAGACGCCCTACTCCTTCCACCCTCTGCGCCTCTTGCTCAATTGTCTCTTTTCCTTCTTGCCTTCCCTCCCAGGAAAGTTCTACCTCCTCTAAGAAACAAAGATACATTTAAAAAAAGAAAAACAAAGCCAAACCAATTCTGACTCATGGCGACCCCACGTGATGGAGTAGAACTGCCCTGTAGGGTTTTCTAGGCTCTAATCTTTAGGCGAGCAGATGGCCAGGTCTTTCTTCTGAGAAGCCGCTGGTGGGTCTGAACCACTGACATTTCAATTAGCAG